TTATGCACTATTCAAGGACTCGGTTAAAAAATACTCTCCTCACTTTAAAATATAAATACACATCTAAAAATGCTCGAGACGTCAATTTTTTAATGCTTTATCATTCATTATGTACATTTGAAACGCGAATAAATTTATTTAATAATCAAGCACAAATCCAAGAATTATTAAAAAACAAAAAGGTGACTTGAAACTGTTATATATAATATTTATAATTATTCTGCTAAAGAGAGCTTAAAATGGACCGAGAATATTATTATACTCGCGTATATTTATTTCTAGAATATTAAAATAACGATTCACTGGGTGACTCGAACTACTTTCCACTCTATTTCACCTACAAGGTGGTCCACCAATATCGGGACGCGATTTTCCCGGAATTTTTGGCATAGAAAGGTACTGCGAAAGAATACAATTGCTTCCAGAACGGACCATAGATCACCGTGCCCGGAATTCGGGATTCGCGAGGTTATATCGGGCATTAAGGGAAGGTTTCGAGACGCGAAACATTTTCTATAACGCCCTAATATTATTCCGTTTCGATTTGCCGAGCTTCGTCCGTGGAAGGCGACGAGGAGCGTCGGAAGATCGAGAGAATCGAGGAAAACCAACGTGGAAGGGGATAAGCTCGCTTCTTGAATGGACGGCAACCCAGTTAGCCCCGACAAAAGGAAGAGAAAATACTGGAGGAGGCTCAATCGCGATGTTGATTAGGTCGATCCCGTTGGCTGAGCCGTTTTATTAAGACGATCGGTGTAAACTTCAGGAATCCTCCGTGATCTCGCCGTTATTCGAATACCTACACGCCCGGGGAACTTCGATTTCGGACGTTTTCCCGGGCGACGGGAATTCTTGGACTCGTTCCTCGAAATTACGAAGTAGGAATACAGAGGAAAAGGATTTCTTCTTGATACGTGATTTTATATCCAGCCCCCCCTCGACGACCAGAGAAAATATGAGAGTTTTAAATTCAGCGATCTTCGTGATTCACAATTCATGATTCACAAAAAATATTAGTTATCCAAGAAAATTGATCTTTCCACCTCGTCTCCTAGAAAAAAAAACTAGTTTCCAGATGGTCGAAGATCCTTCCAGCAGCTGAAAGGGTTGGATTTTTCTGCCAGGATCCCCGAACCCCGGGAATGCAATTATTCGAAGTCGAACGAACGGCGAGAACTTGCTATTTCCTGGCGTCTGTTATTGCAAAACGGAATTCCGGTAGCTTTCGCGGAACTTTCACGCTCTTTCCGCCTCTTGATCTTCTTTCCTTCGTTCTGGAACTTCGGAAAACAGACATTTTTCCGGCCGCGAAAACGAACGCGTAATTATTTAAGGTCGAGAAAATGGCGGGATTTGGTGCTTCTGCTCGGGCTAGCGCGGGAATACGCCGCCGAAGAAAATGGAAAAGCCGGGAACGGCGTGCAACTTTCCGCGAACTTCGTTCCTCCGGAGCATGTGAAAGCAGAAATTGCAATTATTTCATTTCGTCTAATCGTCGCCGTTCCCCAAGCTTCCCTCTGTCTCCGTTTTCAACGTTTTTTTTACCGTGAAAATGGCGGCTGCAGATATTGCACGGTACAATTAAGTCTCTTGTTAATTTTTCTCGAAATAACGTTTCGAACGTTTCTCTACATTTGGGGAAAAATTACTCCCCGTTCTTGCTCGATGTTAATAAAAATAAGTTGCGATCATTTTCCAGAAAAATTTCATTCTACGTTTTCGATCTGATTTTCGAAAGAATCCTATTATGTTTATTTCTACCAATATTACCATAATTCGGAATATAACTGGACGGGTCCGGGGAATTTATTTCATTCTTCCGCGCATACATATTCTTCCGGCGTTTAAATTGGATTGAAATTTATTTCACGTAGTTTAATTATAATTTACATTTAAATATTTGTCCCGTTTTTGCTCGAATTCTCCGACCGAAAAATTAGTTATACGATTCGCCAACGACGGCCAAAATACGTTATAATAAATCCATAAGGCCTGCAGAGACTGAATAGAAAATTGAGGAAATAATAAATGTAGAATTACTTTTATATTGGTAACAAATTATTTATTTAAATTATTCATCAAGTTTATAGGATATTCACAGTTCGTCGATGGACGAGGTGTACATTTTTAAAAGTTTTCTGTACGAAGGGTCAAAGGGAGAAGTTTGTTAGTCTCAACAGAGGGTGGACGATGGTTCAGCGTACGCAAAGGCAAACAGAAAATTACCAAAGCTGTACAAGTTTGCACAGTAACTGTTACAACTTCGCGACTATTACGACACTAACGACGCGTCTTGCTTTAATTAATTGTTATTCCTTTAGCACACTCCTCTGCACTGGGATTTAAATTGAAAACTTACCTGCAACCTCGGAAACAGGATAGAATAAATTGTCAAAATATAATGGACGCTTGATAAATTCCTTTGAAGTAAATAGTTGCAAAATAAAGTAGCGTAGTGGAAAGTTTCACAAAGGATTCATCTGCAATCTAACGACAAAGCAGTTGGCCGGGAATCAATGTTGGAAACGTAACGTCGCAAGGTCCGCAAACGTTCTTATAAAAATGACAGAGTCAGCGAATATTCGTATCTCATCTTTCGCGAATCATAAAAATAATCCACGATCGCCTTTTAGTATAATGAAAGCCAAGATACATGGCTCTGTTTGCTTGGTCCGGTCAATAGGGAGACCCCGAACCGTCCGAATCTAATAATTTCCGCGTCGATTTAATTCCTCGAAATTATTAAAGATGGAAGGTTATCAGGATGCCCCAGAAAATATTCCACGGATTCGGCAACGTTGCTCCCCCGCTATTTTTAATTCAATCATCGGTAGAAATTATACGAAGTAATACAAGTCTCATTTTACGTGAAATATTACATTCCAGTAATTTTTATTTCTATTTTTTAACCGTCCGTCGAAGTAAAATATACGAGCTAATATAATTGCAATAATATTTAATTTCTCCACTGAAATGAAACACAAAATGGAAGTAACTTTTTATTTCTGGATATTTCTTTTGTGTCATAAGAACAAAATGTTCATTTTAATATTAATCAAAATTTGTCCCCACTGTTGTGACTCATTCGTTGGGATAAGGGAACCAAAACGGGGTTCACATAACCACGCGCAAGAAACATGGCGCGACTTTTGAACGGAACATGGTGCGTGGAATTCATAATGAAGCATAAAAATGCTTTGTCGCCCCGCGAGCATAATTTATAAAATTGTTCAAAGGAAAGTAGTGTTTGAACTTTCACGGCACGTTGTGTAATTATATTTCAACGCGTAAACCTCTATTTTTGTAGGTCCTCCGCAGGAACGTTTCGTTTGAGGTTAGGTGATCGCGTGTATAGTTTCACTAAATGAAATTGTTACGAGAAAAGAACTTACGAAGGGAAAGATAATTTTAATTACGGTAGAATAAATATTATCGTGAACCAACGTAATATTTTTTTCCAAAATGGTGTCAGTGGGGCGCGGGGCTCGTTCTATTGAAAATTATTTTTTAACGCGCTGATTGACGAATGTAAGTTTTGAACATATTTTCTGGAACATATTAATGCTCGTCAGGATATGGAAGATTGAATGAAAATGGAGAAACGAAGGGTCATAAACGTTTGGAAATGTCTTTAGGGTCATCGCGCGTGGAAAGGAACTCCCGATGGCGCGGAATAGCTTTCAGACTAACGAGAAAGGATCCTGAGAGCACGACACCGATGTTTGTTCGCGGAGGACCGTTTTTTTTTACCAAAGGAGAGCCGAGTTTCGCGCACCAAACGACGAAGCTGAATTTCAGAGAACCCTGGAGAGCCAGAGGAACGGGACGATATACATTTTTATCGTCGTCGTAGAAAACAAAGTCGTCACGAGGCTCTATAAATATTCAGCACGGATGATTTTACGCGTCCCTTGTCCATGCAAATGCTTTATGATGTTCATGGAGGCTGAATTAATTCGCTTCGAAACAGAAGTCGTGAGAAAATCGTTCCACGCGATTCCCAAACATGTCGTATCTATTTCCAATCGTATTTAAAACAAAAATTCGTTTTTTTAAATCGTGAAAAAAAAATTTTGAAATCGTATGTACGAACGAATTAAAATGACAGAAGGTTCGATCGAAATCTCGTTGTCTCCGACGGGGACGGGCGAGAAAATAAATAACGATTCGCGCCTCCCAGAGCCAACACGACGTGCAAGCTTGCAGAAGGCGTCGGGGCCAATCTGTTCGCTGAATCCTGTCCGGTCGACAGGGGTAAATAATGTCGATGGTTACAGGCGTGTTTGGAAGAGTGTCAAACAGGCGTTGGCGCCTCGACGACGCCATTTTTCCACGATTCGAAATCACGGTTTCCCGCGTTTCCAGTTCGACGAGCATCACGAGATTTCCTCGAAAACAGAACGATTCCCTCCTGGTCCAAACACCAATAATTTCCGTACCCTGTTCTTTTTACCGTAGGAACAAATTCAAGTAGAAAATAACGTAAAAAATTCAATGATTCGATTCTTCAAACAGTCCTACTCTAGCTCACAAAATCCAGTTAAATTAGAATAATTATTGCGACAACGAAAAATGTGATAGAATCTATATCAGATTTAATACTCGAATACTCCTTGCTTTTAAGGCGAAGGTATTTATCGATAGAATCCGAAGTAAAATTTGCCTATTGTCTCAACGTATTCTACTCGAGGAGCTGATTAAAAGTTGTAAAGGAAGCATATCTCTCAAAGGAACCGTTCCCTGGCAAAAGATTGTCAAAGTTCGAGCCAATGAGGAGGCTTCCCACGACCCCCGCCACGCCTACTAGCGGCTCCCGGTAATCCCATTGACCCAAACTTTAACTGTCCATTGCGACAAAACGGTCCATTTGCGACACACGGTTCCTTGACAACTTTTTATCCTCTCGTCGCGTAGAATGCGTAGGGCGAATAAAAAAAGCTTGACCTTGAATTTGTTTGTTTATCGCGAACTCTACGTTTAGGAGAATTGAGTGGACTTACGATGCACCATTCGGCCGAGGGTGGACACTCCTTCAGATGCATGTGAGCGGTGTAATTGATGCACGGCGTGATGCTGCCGATCCCCTCGTTGTACTGTCCGCACACATAACATCTGATGCCGTGTGCGAGACCTGGAACACGGTAACACGAGCGTAAGAATGTAGAGGCGATAAAGTAGCCGGGTTTTATTCCCTGACTCGGGCATAAAATACCTATTACGCTAAAACGGACCGCCCTGCTCTTTATTCCGAGCATAAAGACTCGCCAGGGACATTATCCGAGTGCAATCGATTTTGCTAAAATACGTTGTTTAACTCTCGCGACTAACGAATTCGTATTTTATTCAGAACGTTCGTACCGCGCCCCCCGCGTGGATTTTAAATTTCAAATTCGGGGCACAAATTTGTTCAATCTTCTCGAAAGAATCTCCGCTGGAAATTATTATTTACGACCACTTTTTATGACGTTGAAATAGTCCGAACATTAACTTCGTTTCACGATGGCGGGAAATATATTTCCAAACGAACGTGTAAAAGAAGAGGGGGGAATAAATTTCAAACTTATCACGCCCCGATAAGTCGAGTGCATTACACCCTCTTTGGTATCGACTTTGAACAGGCCGGGGGACGCGTGCCGCGGAAAGTTGCTTGCGAAAGTAGAAATTAGAGACGCGTGCCGCTTTGAAGCCGGGGGGGCTGGCGAACTTTTCAAGCAGCTTGCCGAAGAGCTTTGAACTCCGGAAATATCAAGGCAAAGACACTCGTTGCGCGATCGAACCCGAACCAGAGGTGATCAACTGCCATGGAAGACGTTAAATACCCCTGCCGGATCCGGGGGGGCTCAAACAGCCGTGAAATTTTCGAAGAAAGCTTTCCAGTAACTCCCGCGGACCTTTAGTCAGCCGTCCACCCACCCCTCTGGAGTTAAAACTAAATTTGAAAGCTCCGAGTCGCTTCGAGAGCTTCGACTTTGAGCTCTCGGGGGCGAAGAATTATTATTACTCATTTATTAACGGAAACAAATTCTTTAATACAAATATGTAACACGTGAGGAACTACAGATGTGGATTTTACATAGTCAAACATTGTCGCTTATTAAATTTGACAAAATGAATTAATTTACAATACGTTTGGAAGGATAATTTTAGACCTTCTAATGATTGTTCCATTAAATCAGTTTTAGTGTGTACAAAATTCATTCTAGCACACAAACGTTGTACAGTAACTCTCAAAATGAAATAGAAAGTGATTTCTTGAACATACAAAAGAAACAATTGAGTAATTATAATGTTTTTCTGCGAAACGAGCTTGATCACGCTATTATAATGTATTTGGAATTAGCTATGAGTATTTGATAGAAACAGTATAATTGAATCAAAATGGTATAGTGCTCGCAAGGATTAATCTTCTTTAGTAATTGCCCTCTGTTTACATTATTTAAACATTATCGAATGAAAATCACGACCCAACCCCAGCGCCGTGTATCGCGCGTTATGTAACCAATTTTATACGTTGATTATCGCGTTAAATTCGCGCGCGAGTTTCATCGGAGCACGGTTTTCTGTCGTAACGCTTTTATAATGTATAGACAGTCAGATTAATTAATGAAAGGATTGATTGCGTAAGGTCGTGTTATCCCCTGTGTACTCGATGCACCGAACCGTAATCTAATCTTAATAAATGCTAGTTTCGATCGCAAAATGTCCTCTCTATCAAAGGGATCCTCTGAAAAGAAAAACTGATTAGAATCAACGCGTTCCATGATTTCAAATTTCAAACGAAAAGGTTCTCAAAAATAGGGACATCGAGAGATATACTTGACAAATATTTTTTATTTACATCGCAATTAATTTCGTGGTTAAAATTACAAATAAGGTCTAGGTTGTTTGATTAAAAAATGGATCACAGTTTCCTCCACAGTACAGATGCAAACGCCTGAACGCGATGGAACCGGAAGTTCGCCTTATCCCACGTCGGGTGAAACACGATGTAAGGCTGCAAAACAATCCGACCGCGTCGCAAAGCGGATTTCGAGGGAACAGTCGCGAAACTTTGCATCGTTTCGGCCTCGATATTCGGGGGATTCGGGGTTTCGAGAGTTCGAAACAAGTCCAGAAAGAGAGTTTCCGCGCCCGGGAACGATATTCCACGGAGGAGTGTCGCGGTCGCGGTTTCTTGCCGGAACTTCGAGACTCGCCGTGGCCGAATTTACGAGCGACGATTAACAGTTTTATGGCTCGTATCAATTTTCACGTCCCAGCGGCCCTCGAATTAATCGATTCGCGAGCGGCCCCCGCGCGATTTGGCTCGGCCTCTGCGGCTGATTTCGTTGTTGGTCCTCGATGTTATTGCATCGAACAGGAGCAGCGAGGGGCAGGACGAGTGCGGAATGTTTTGGCAAATTGTAATTCCCCGCTGGGGACCCAAAACTCGGGCTCGAAACGTCGGATCGAATGTATTTTTAACGTCCGATCGCGTTTAATCCCAATTTTTCCCCGCCGTTTTATTTTCGCTATTATCGTTCGGTTTAAAATTCAATATTGGTTTCTACGACCGGGAAGCTTTTAGTCAGAGGGATATAGAAAACGATGTTTATTTAATAAATACACAAAAAATCTTATTCCAGTGTTTATTCGATATAAAAAACAAAATTTCTGAAGCCAGAATAAAGTTGTAAATAAACTACTAGTCTGTACCTTCTTCGATATAGTTAAATATACTTTCTTTATTTTACCGTAAAACGTGCTCCATTTCTTCTAGAATACTACACAGTAGAGAATGTGGTGTTGCCTCTCATGATCGCCACCAGAGGGATCGCGCTCTCACAAGCACTCGACTGATCCCTCGGTTGCTATATATACATTCATCAAACGAGTTTCTAATATTCCAGTCGTCTAAGGCAGAGACTGCAGAAAGCCTTACTGATGATTCCTTTCCTTTTCTGCCCTCCTATGAGAGATTCAGCCAGCAGCGCCACAAGGGTTTAAAACAAAAGAACGAGGATAATATCCAATAAAAAATATTAATTGTATTCCTGGGGAGCATGATCGCAAAGACCAAGGGAAATTCGACGACGAGGCGCCGAGTTTGACGATCGCAGGATAGCCCAAGACATTAATGATTACCACCCTCAGACACATACGAGGGGAAGTGTAATCAAGAGGCCGTGTTACAAAAGTACAATCCACGGGATTCGAGTGGATAATGGAGGAAGTTTGGCGACCTTAATACGGCGAGCGTCACAGCGGGTCCCTGACCACGTAACTCATAACATCGCGTCGGTCCCGGGGCAATTAACGCGCTGTTGATTTTCAGCACAACCGAGGCCAGAATTAAAGTCATCGAATCCGGGCCGTTTCTCGCGTGAGATCACTTTCAATCCTTTCAGAGGGTTGTTTCCGTTGCTGATGGCCGATTGATTTCATTTTTGAATCTCCATGCCCAAGAAGAGGTACAACGTGGCTCGAATTAGACCGAGGGGGGCTAATTAGACACCTGGAACCGAATATCCAGCGCCTCCGCGAGTTAAACGACACCGGTGTCGGCCAAGGAGAGATCCAGCGAGCAAGCCAGACAAGTAGAATTGGGTCGTGCATTGATCAGCCAAGTGAAACAGAACACGCGTCGGACAAATAAAGGCGGATCGTCGCCAGTCTGCCAAATATTAGATTATTGGATTCTCCTGGAAAACTTTCGCCATAGTTTCGCGTACGGTATTATTCCGAGCGATAATATTGATCGGAACAGGCTTGCAAACTTCTGTAAGCTTGTAATGCATATTTTCTTAAAAAAGAAGGAGTTTTTAAATAAATATGAATATTTTACGGGGGTATGTATTACAAAATTCCCGATACGCGACAATGGCACACTGTTCGCCCAACAAAGAGATATCGATGTCCCTGGTAAATGGTACGCCAAATACAGGGAAGAACAGAGAACGGTACCTGGGACCGGAAGCCACCCCCCTCCTTTTCGCCCGCAATGTTTTCCAATTTCCAATAAAATATTTTCGTCGAGCGACAGGGACGGGGAAGAGGCTACCCTGTATATATCCCACCGCGGCGAAACCGACTCGATAAAAGGTAACTTTTCCAATTTCCCGCGAATCGTCGGACCAGGGTACTCGGAATTCGATATATACGCGACGATCCGAATCCTTGGCCAGGATGTTACCTCGACCTCGTCTGAACCATCGTCGAACGTAAACGATAAATTGACGTGGTCGTGAGTCCCAACGAATCCCCCTCAAAAATCTCTCGTCGAGCAATTCTCAAAAATTTTTCCATTCGCCACCACCTTTATTGCGCGACAACAATTTTTAATGGACCTCGAACGATTTCAATCATCACATTGTTGGTCGAAAATAATTCACTGTATAACGAATTCGATTTTTTAATTTTTACTGTAAATGGTATCTAGTTCTATTCAATAATGAGATTGTCTCTAGATAAATTGAAAAAAATATATTTACGAAAATATTGTTTAGTGTAAATATTTATTATTTTTCATTGAACTAGAATCGAAATAATGCATTGACAGAAATGAATGTGTCGTGACTTGTGTAAAATTGCTGTGATTTAAAAGATTTTCTGCGTTCGTAGCAAGTAGAATGGGCCAGCGCCTGGTCAGACGGCGGTAGTTTCCGAAATACGTGGCCCGTGAGGGGAATCAATAGTAAATATTAGATCGGGCGTAATCAGTGACGTAACTCCATCAAAGTATTCAACTACTCAGACGCACGACTTCGCCCCAGTAATCAATACTTCATTCGAACTCCGGGGCAAGTAGTGCTAGACAATCGCTAGTCAGACCTCTCCCGTAACGTCGCGATTACGTTCGCGTATTTCCAGGCTATTATCCGTTAACAATTTAACGTTCGCAGCTATCGCGCCGTTCCACTGCTTCGAACTATTTCGCTGCCCTAGTCCGTGCAGTGTTACGCCAAATAACAATGCAACCATACTCCAACCGTACCATCTCCCTTATTCGATCATTTTCACGAGACATTGGGCGGAGATTTGATACTATTTTTTAAGCAATTCGTATCGACCACTCCATCATTTCTCCTTTCATAATTTTATACCCTGCTGTTACACTGATAAATTAAATAATTTTATAGAAAGAACAAAATG